GAACTGTTCCTTGAGTTGACCCCTGGTGTACACTGATAGCTGCTCCTCTACAGTTAGGGGCAGTGGGATAGCCTAGTGGTTAAGGGTTCACTCATCACGCCGAAGACCTGGGTTCAATTCCCCACATGTGTACAATGTGTGAAGCCCATTTCTGATGTCCCCCCCACCATGATATTGCTTGAATATTGCTAAAAGCGGCGTGAAACTAAACTCACTCACTCTTTCTACAGATGATAGAACAGAAGAACTGGCAGCCGGATGTAGTGAGTCAAGCTAGCGGGATGGAACTGGAGAAGTTGTCTTTCCTTGGACCAGTCCTCGGCCTCTCTGTCTTCGCTGAGGATAATGTATGTGGTCTTTCTCTCTCCTAACCGGGTCACACGACATTGCAACTATTGGGTTTTGTAGAATGAATTTGCTTGTGCATAATACCCCAATTTGATCACTATGGCTTACCTCATGGATATGTATCATGTAATAACACAAATCTAAATGAACAACATTCCTTTACAAATTACATCTCCTGTTTCTAAATCAGTTGTAGAAATAAGAACATTTTTTCCTGTTGTGAAAAATAAGTTCCTCTATTCTGAGATTGGGTTGATCAAGTATGTTGTGTAGCCTCCAGTGAGAACCAAGGTTAAATTAAGTATCGTTTGTGAAAACTAAATTCCCTATGTTTTCAGCTATTCCCTTTGATTCTGATTCTGATTGGGTAATGCTAGGTACACTTGTGGCTGAAAGGAAGGATTATTTCTCTTTCAGGTTAAAGTTGTGGAGCAGTTCTTCTCTGGGCATCAGTTGACAAGCGACAACACCCGTCTCATCAACCAATCTCTACAGCATAGGCTAGAATATGTCAGGGTACGTCGGCATATCTAGATATACGTTCACCTTGAAGTATCTTTCTAAATATATGAATAACTACTTAATTATGAGAATATGGAGCTTGATTTCTTTTTCTTTTCAGTCTGAAGTTTTCAAAGTCGTCCACGCTCTCCTCGTAAACGTTGAAACGAGGGATTCAGCAATGTCCTTCCTTGCATCCGCGCTCATGAGAAATGCCAAACGCTTCACAGATCCATGTAAGCTTCCTTCTTGTGTACCTGTAAGAGTGTATGTGTAGATGTTTACAGTGACTATTACAGGTTCATCTTCTTCAGTTTCTGTGTCATCAGCCATCTTTTACTTGATGAAGGTTAACTTAATCATGTTAATATAGTTCTAAGTTTTATTGAGAACCTTTCTGCTTGAACAGACTGAGATGTGTTGATAGCCCACCTAGTGTATCTGGTGTTGTTGTGTTGGGCAGGTTGATGAACGGTTCGTGTCGGGCGATGGCTTCATCCTCAACCTCATGTCAGTGCTGCAGCAGTTGTCAGTGAAGATAATGTTAGACAAGGTGAGTCCGGCAGATCATATTGTACATAGCTCTGTCTCTCATCTCCATGCATGTGTATTACACCAGGCAATGGGTCAGTGGGCACTCAATATTCATTCTCAACTCCCTGGGGAACATACAACCACATTTGCCTGTGAGGTGCTAGAAGGTTAACAGTTATGAGTTGGGTGACTGCAGGGCCTAGATTTTCGAAGCTCTCTTAGCGTTAAGATAGTCGTAAGTGCCATACATTAACATTAACTTACGACTATCTTACCGCTAAGAGAGCTTCGGAAATCTAGGCCCTGGTCATCATGCCCTTATGCTCTTGGATGTTGCCCTCAACATCAATCACCAGCATATCTGGTTCAGCTCCTGTTTACAGATCATCAAGCTGACTGTAGTGGAAAATACATTCACTTTATGCTGTAAGTCTTGTGTTTGTCTATTGGAGGTCTGCTTCTGTTGTCCAGGTTGACCCCTACTATCCATTCCACCCCAAGTCAAGGGTTTCCACCAAGTCAGAATCTCGCCTCCACAGCACAGCAGCTGAAGCAGACAAATGGATGGATGATCTTTGTAAGTTGTCAGGGGTAACATCTCACAGCATACTCTACACTACACATACTGCAACCTGAATGTTAGATTCTCATTGTACATAACCTTTATATTACATTTTATTACCTTCTATATGAACAAATAATTCTAACATTCCCTGTAGCTGGGGATAATTCATTATGTAGTTTTCTTGTATAAACATACTGGTGATACTCTTATTTTCAGTCAGGATCTCACTTTGGGTGTTGTGTGTCAACTCTTTCACATCTTAGGATATCTATGTGATGGGTGGTGACTTAGTTATCAAACTGACTTAAGGGACCGTTCATAAGTTATGGCTAGGGGGATGATGATGCTTTTTATGGAGAGGCATGTACAATGTGAATGACCCCCCTTCCCCTAAATTTATGTACAAAGTAAGTGCCCCCCCACATGTCATGTACAAAATCAATGACCCCCCTTCTCCTTCACATATTTTTTAAGCATAGTTTTAAAATATTTTTATGTGCAAAATTGCTGACCCCTCAGATTATGTGTACAAAATTGCTGACCACCCCCAGCTTCCCAGAACAAAATGTTGCCTCCCAAAAAAAAAAAATAATAAAATAAAATAATAATTTAAGAAAATAAATAAAAATTTAAAATAAAATAAAAAAAATAAAATCATCATCACCCCCTAGCCATGAATTATGAACGGTCCCTAAATCAGCTCCAGTGATTTTTTCTAAAAAACATTTCCATTCTTTTTGCGGGCTCACAAGGAATTTAGGTGAGATATTTTGACAAAACCTGTTGGTAAGCCTGTATTTAGGGGAGATCACTCTGCATGCTGACTCACAATGGTTGGTTACCCTGTTGACCCTCAATTGATTCATATCAGTGTCAAGGATTTAATGAAATGACTTAATTCTATGGGTTTTAATGCCTTTTGTGTTATGTGTTAATTGTTTCTTATACTTACACTTACTTTTCGGTAAACCTACAGACAATAAACCCAACTCGCCGTGGCAAGACCCCAAGTTCCCCACCGAGTGTTTCTTCCTTACGCTTCACTGCCATCACTTGTCCATTACTCCCATCATGCGTAAATATCAGCGCCGACTTCGTGCAATCCGAGATCTCAACCGCATGGTGGAGGAGATGGAGGGGACGGAGCCACAGTGGAAGATCCTGCCCACAGCAGGCAGGAACAGGGAGATGCTTAAGAAGTGGAAGTCTCAGGTCCAGGTGGGTGAGGTCTCTTGTAGATAGGGCGAGATGGGGACAGCTGCTGTGTCAGCTAGGTGAGGTCTCTTGTAGATAGGGCGAGATGGGGACAGCTGCTGTGTCAGCTAGGTGAGGTGTCTTGTAGATAGGGCGAGATGGGGACAGCTGCTGTGTCAGCTAGGTGAGGTCTCTTGTAGATAGGGCGAGATGGGGACAGCTGCTGTGTCAGCTAGGTGAGGTCTCTTGTAGATAGGGCGAGATGGGGACAGCTGCTGTGTCAGCTAGGTGAGGTCTCAGATAGGTGAGATGGGGGCTCTGTGTCAGCTAGGTGAGGTCTCTTGTAGGGCTGAGATGGGGACAGCTGCTGTGTGTCAGCTAGGTGAGGTCTCTTGTAGATAGGGCTGAGATGGGGACAGCTGCTGTGTCAGCTAGGTGAGGTCTCTTGTAGATAGGGCTGAGATGGGGACAGCTGCTGTGTCAGCTAGGGTGAGGTCTCTTGTAGATAGGGCGAGATGGGGACAGCTGCTGTGTCAGCTAGGTGAGGTCTCTTGTAGATAGGGCGAGATGGGGACAGCTGCTGTGTCAGCTAGGTGAGGTCTCTTGTAGATAGGGCGAGATGGGGACAGCTGCTGTGTCAGCTAGGGTGAGGTCTCTTGTAGATAGGGCGAGATGGGGACAGCTGCTGTGTCAGCTAGGTGAGGTCTCTTGTAGATAGGGCTTGAGATGGGGACAGCTGCTGTGTCAGCCAGGTGAGGTCTCTTGTAGATAGGGCTGAGATGGGGACAGCTGCTGTGTCAGCCAGGGTCAGCTCTCTTGTAGGGTGAGTCTCTTGTAGATACAGCTGAGATGGGGACAGGTGCTGTGTCAGCTAGGAGATGAGGACAGCTGCTGTGTCAGCTAGGTGAGGTCTCTTGTAGATAGGGCTGAGATGGGGACAGCTGCTGTGTCAGCTAGGGTGAGGTCTCCCCCAGCTGTGGGGACAGCTGCTGTGTCAGCTAGGTGAGGTCTCTTGTAGATAGGGCTGAGATGGGGACAGCTGCTGTGTCAGCTAGGTGAGGTCTCTTGTAGATAGGGCGAGATGGGGACAGCTGCTGTGTCAGCTAGGTGAGGTCTCTTGTAGATAGGGCGAGATGGGGACAGCTGCTGTGTCAGCTAGGTGAGGTCCAGGTGGGTCTCTCTTGTAGATAGGGCTTGAGATGGGGACAGCTGCTGTGTCAGCTAGGTGAGGTCCAGGTGGGTGAGGTCTCTTGTAGATAGGGCTGAGATGGGGACAGCTGCTGTGTCAGCTAGGTGAGGTCCAGGTGGGTGAGGTCTCTGTAGATAGGGCGAGATGGGGACAGCTGCTGTGTCAGCTGAGGTCCAGGGTGAGGTCCAGATAGGGGTGAGATGGGGACAGCTCTTGCTAGATAGGGCTTGTGAGGGACAGCTGCGAGATGGGGACAGCTAGGTCAGCTAGGTGAGGTCCAGTCCAGGTGGGTGATGGGGTCTCTTGTAGATAGGGTAGATAGAGATGGGGACAGCTGCTGTGTCAGCTGGTGAGGTCCAGGTGGGTGAGGTCTCCAGATAGGGCTTAGATGGGGGACAGCTGCTGTGTCAGCTAGGTGAGGTCCAGGTGGGTGAGGTCTCTTGTAGATAGGGCGAGATGGGGACAGCTGCTGTGTCAGCTAGGTGAGGTCCAGGTGGGTGAGGGCTCTTGTAGATAGGGCGAGATGGGGACAGCTGCTGTGTCAGCTAGGTCAGGTCCAGGTGGGTGAGGTCTCTTGTAGATAGGGCTGAGATGGGGACAGCTGCTGTGTCAGGCTAGATGGTGACAGCTGCTGTGTCAGCCAGGTGAGGTCTCTTGTAGATAGGGCGGGAGATGGGGACAGCTGCTGTGTCAGCTAGGTGAGGTCCAGGTGGGTGAGGTCTCTTGTAGATAGGGCGAGATGGGGACAGCTGCTGTGTCAGCTAGGTGAGGTCCAGGTGGGTGAGATAGGGGGAGACGAGGACAGCTGCTGTAGATAGGTGGGTGAGGTCTCTGTAGATGTAGATGGGGACAGCTGCTGTGTCAGCTAGGGTGAGGGTGAGGTCTCTTGTAGATAGGGCCAGGTGCTGTGTCAGCTAGGGTGAGGTGGGTGAGGTCTCTTGTAGATAGGGCGAGATGGGGACAGCTGCTGTGTCAGCTAGGTGAGGTCCAGGTGGGTGAGGTCTCTTGTAGATAGGGCGAGATGGGGACAGCTGCTGTGTCAGCTAGGTGAGGTCCAGGTGGGTGAGGTCTCTTGTAGATAGGGCGAGATGGGGACAGCTGCTGTGTCAGCTAGGTGAGGTCCAGGTGGGTGAGGTGGGGACAGCTGCTGTGTCAGCTAGGTCAGGTCCAGGTGGGTGAGGTCTCTTGTAGATAGGGCGAGATGGGGACAGCTGCTGTGTCAGCTAGGTGAGGTCCAGGTGGGTGAGGTCTCTTGTAGATAGGGCGAGATGGGGACAGCTGCTGTGTCAGCTAGGTGAGGTCCAGGTGGGTGAGGTCTCTTGTAGATAGGGCGAGATGGGGACAGCTGCTGTGTCAGCTAGGTGAGGTCCAGGTGGGTGAGGTCTCTTGTAGATAGGGCGAGATGGGGACAGCTGCTGTGTCAGCTAGGTGAGGTCCAGGTGGGTGAGGTCTCTTGTAGAGAGGGCGAGATGGGGACAGCTGCTGTGTCAGCTAGGTGTGACCAGGTGTGTGAGGGCTGCTATTTCAGCTAGGGGGGACCAGGTGAGGGCCCAGGTGAGTGAGGCTGGAGTGTAAGCTAGGTATGACCAGGTGTGTGAGGGCTGCTATGTCAGCTAGGGGGGACCAGGTGAGTGAGGCTGGAGTGTAAGCTAGGTGTGACCAGGTGTGTGAGGGCTGCTATGTCAGCTAGGAGGGACCAGGTGAGTGAGGCTGGAGTGTAAGCTAGGTGTGACCAGGTGTGTGAGGGGTGCTATGTCAGCTAGGGGGGACCAGGTGAGTGAGGCTGGAGTGTAAGCTAGGTGTGACCAGGTGTGTGATGGCTGCTATGTCAGCTAGGAGGGACCAGATGAGTGAGGCTGGAGTGTAAGCTAGGTGTGACCAGGTGTGTGAGGGCTGCTATGTCAGCTAGGGGGGACCAGGTGAGTGAGTCTGGAGTGTAAGCTAGGTGTGACCAGGTGTGTGATGGCTGCTATGTCAGCTAGGAGGGACCAGGTGAGGGCCCAGATGAGTGAGGCTGGAGTGTAAGCTAGGTGTGATCAGGTGTGTGAGGGCTGCTGTGTCAGCTAGGAGGGCCCAGGTGAGTGAAGCCTGAGTGTAAGCTAGGTGTGACCAGGTATGTAAGGGTGTTGTCCAGGTAGGTGTTTGCAGGTGGAAAAGTTGGGGCGCTGGTAGGTGAGGGCAGCAATGTCAGCTGGGTGGGCCCAGGTGGGCGAGGGCAGCATTTTCAGCTGGGTGGGTCCCAATGGGTGAGGGCTGCTCTCTTAGGTGTGGTACAAGTTGGTGAGGGCTTCATTCTGAGAAAGGTGGGATCCTGATGGGTGATATTAGTTATGTTGGGTCCAGGTGGGCGAGGACTGCAATGTTAGGTGGGTGGGTCCAGGTGGGCGAGGGCTGCAATGTTAGGTGGGTGGGTCCAGGTGGGCGAGGGCTGCAATGTTAGGTGGGTGGGTCAAGGTGGGTGAGGGCTGCAATGTCAGCTGGGTGGGTCCAGGTGGATGAGGGCTGCAATGTCAGCTGGGTGGGTCCAGGTGGGCGAGGGCTGCAATGTCAGTTGGGTGGGTCCAAGTGGGTGAGGTCTGCAATGTCAGCTGGATGGTTCCAGGTGGGCGAGGGCTGCAATGTCAGCTGGGTGGGTTGAGGTGGGCGAGGGCTGCAATGTCAGTTGGGTGGGTCCAAGTGGGTGAGGTCTGCAATGTCAGCTGGATGGGTCCAGGTGGGCGAGGGCTGCAATGTCAGCTGGGTGGGTCCAGGTGGGCGAGGGCTGCAATGTCAGTTGGGTGGGTCCAAGTGGGTGAGGTCTGCAATGTCAGCTGGGTGGGTCCAGGTGGGCGAGGGCTGCAATGTCAGTTGGGTGGGTCCAAGTGGGTGAGGTCTGCAATGTCAGCTGGATGGGTCCAGGTGGGCGAGGGCTGCAATGTCAGCTGGGTGGGTTGAGGTGGGTGAGGGCTGCAGTGTCAGCTGGGTGGGTTGAGGTGGGCGAGGGCTGCAATGTCAGCTTGATGGGTCCAGGTGGGTGAGGGCTGCAATGTCAGTTGGATGGGTCCAGGTGGATGAGGGCTGCAATGTCAGCTGGGTGGGTTGAGGTGGGCGAGGGCTGCAATGTCAGCTTGATGGGTCCAGGTGGGTGAGGGCTGCAATGTCAGCTGGATGGGTCCAGGTGGGTGAGGGCTGCAATGTCAGCTGGGTGGGTCCAGGTGGGCGAGGGCTGCAATGTCAGCTCGATTGGTCCAGGTGGGCGAGGGCTGCAATGTCAGGTGGATGCTCAATAATCAGCTGGATGCTCAATATCAGCTGGATGCTCAATAATCAGCTGTACCAAATCATCTTTGTACTCTTCATGGACTAGCCTTTTGTGGACAAGCCTGCCCTAACCCTGAGTTTGTGAAAGTATAAAACCTTTAAGATGATGTTTCATGGAAAAAATGCTTCTTTTAAATATCTATAGTTGATATTTTCAGAGGCTACAGAAGAGCAAGCTGTGTGCAGATGCTGGGGTGTTAGATGCCAACATGTTGCGGAAGTGTCTCCAGTTCTACACCCTGGTTGCTGAGTTTGTCATCAAGGCAGCAGATCCAAAACACCAGGGGTAAATTGGGTTTTGCATTTGTAACAGCTTATCTGATGAATTTTCAGTTTCATGGCTGTAGCTCATATTTAAGCAGTTTTTATGGCATATTCAGATTTGTTCATCACATGTCACAAAGTAAGTTACATGTTCAGAGTGAACAACTGCTGTAAGGTTCTGTCTCTTGCAATGCAGAGTTATGTCCCTTAGCTGACAGGATCTGCTTTGTCAGCATTACCCTTCCGAATGGGTTATGCTTCACTTAGGCATTTCCATCCACATTATGTTAGCTATACTGAAACACAGTAGTATTTAATGGAACTTGTACTTGGACAAGAGGTATATCTAATCTGTTGATGTTATGATGTTGCTTGTTTTGATGTCCTTGTAGCAGTAAGTCGTGAGTGGAACATGTGGTTGGTGTATAGTTGTAACCAGTGTCTGGTATGTTGCTGCAGGACTCGCCTTCCACTGCCTACAGACGTTCCTATGCAATTCTCAGCCTTACCTGAGTACTACGTGGAGGACATAGCCGACTTCCTGCTCTTCGTGCTCCAGTAGGTCACCCTGCTGCTCTCACTATACAACCTGTGGGATGTTTTACCTCATTATGTCAAAATACACACAAGAAATTAGAGCATCTTTCATATAAATGCAGGTTTTTAACTTGTATGGTTTGCACTATTTTTCATGACATGGATCCATGTGTCTCTTCAAGCCATAGTGAGGCCTGATGTTACATGTGACCGTCACTTACACAGGCTTGAGAGTGATATCAGTATATTGTCAGACAGCAGATACAGGGGATAAACTTCAATAATAGATTTGATTATCTTACTGACAATTATATAATAAATGTCAGTAGTATATGCTTACTATTAAACTGCAATGTCAGATGAAAGCAAGTCCACATAAAGAAGGTGTTTAGGTGTACGTGGCCTCTACAGGTAACTAAGACGTGTGTGTCTGTGTGGCAGGTACAATCCCCAGATCCTGGATGACCCAGCAACAACCAAGATCCTGCAGCTCCTAATAGTGCTGGTGTGTAACGGGTCGTACATCAGCAACCCTTACCTGGTGGCCAAGTTGGTGGAGGTGATGTTCGTCCTGCAGCCCACTGTGCAACCCAAGGCAGAGAAGCTCAATGAGGCCTTGCTGCTGCACCCTCTAGCCCTGGAGTTCCTGTCTCCAGCTCTCATGCAGTTCTACACAGGTCAGTGAGGGACACCTGGTGTGGGGCAGCATTTCCAGTGGAATAGCATGGGAAAGTCTGGAGCTATGTGATCTGTAGATTTAGGGTTCTGTGTAGGACTGAGTGACCTGTAGTTTTGTGGTTCAGGTTAAGGTGATGTGATCTGTAGATTTGGGGCTCTGGGCCCCGTTTCACAAAGCTCTTGTAAGCCTAAGATCTCGTAACTTTTCTCGTAGCATTCGTGCCTCCTATACTGTAACATATGAGGTACTAATGCTACGAGAAAAGTTATGAGATCTTAGGCTTACGAGAGCGTTGTGAAACGGGGCCCAGGTTAAGGTGATGTGACCTTATTTTTCCTTATCCTGACTTATGATTATTGCTTATTTCCCTTCTCCTTCGACGGTCAAGTGGAAACCCTGAATCCTATTCAAATTCACTGAAGCGTACGTACAATCACTCACCCTGAGTTACCTCCCTTATTCCCGCCAAAACCGGTCCGACGTGACCTGAGACTAGCTCTTCTCACTCTCTCCTTCATCGCCCTCGCCGACGGTCGGGTGGTCCTGACGGGTCCTATTTGCGGCAGATATACTTTCATTTCGACCTTATAAATTGTGGCCGCAGATTGTATTTAGATCCATATTAGTTGTATCCATATGTATATTATTATGTAAAATTCTACTAAAGTTACGCATTTTTCACTTCGTTGCAGGTGAGGTGTTGTTCAATGGTGGCATGTCAGCAATGGAGATTGAGGCTATCTGCGTTCGATCCACATCCAGTTTGCTCCTCTTATTGCCTTCATACTTGTTCTTTTGATTCACGGTGTCAATATTGCATTAATTTATCAACACAATTATTTACTAAATATTTATCAGCCTGCTTACGCAGTCAGCTGTAAGGGGTAGTTCTCTTACAATTGGTACTAAAATGTCACAACACAATAAGGAGAATTCCCCAGGGATTTCTCCCGTTTCTGTCACGCTTCCAGCAACAGCTACGCAGTCTACTTCCAAGAGAAAGTCACCTCCGACAGAGGAGACTGAACTATAATGCCTAGCGAGGAAGAAACGATCATCTAGATTGTCTGCAAAATCTACAACTACGAGATCTACATCATCTATATCTACTAGATCATCAGATACACCTATGGCATTGCCATATCTCAACTTGACAGATCACCACCAGTTTTAGAACCGCAGATCATCTTGACTTCATCTCAGACTACATCTACTAGTACTCCGAGAGAGTTAGCGAACTCAGGTTCGCAACAACATACATCAAAATCATCATCGTCGTCGAGGAAGAAACATTCATCCCAGCATAGATCGTCGAATACTACAGGGTTTACGAACCCTCCCAGCATGTCGTCAGGGGTTATAAACCCTTCTACAGACAATCAGAATGGATCGTCTCAAACATCACAGACTACGTCTACTGATCATTTAACTTCTACGAGAACTAAGAAAAGTGCGTCAAATCAGACAACTGTTGCACTACAGACAGAAAGTAATTTTTCATCTGACAGGGGGTTCGCGAATCCTCATCAAAATGGAGGGTTCGCGAACCCTCAGCCGGATGGAGGGTTCACGAACCCTCAACAACAGAGAGTTTCAACACATCAGCAGAGAG